TTTGTTTGCTTAGCAATGTGTATCTATAGTTTTGTTCCCTTTGTAAAGTCACAAGAATGGGATTTGATTGGATCGTTATTTTCAGGCAGCAATATGATAATAAATCAATGTTCTGTTGTTAGTTGTTTGGATATGGTGAAGTACACAATTATTATCAGGGCATGTCTGAAAATAAAGATGTATTATATTTGCATGGAAAAAGTGAGCCTAATCAGGTTTTCCCTGGTTCCTTTCAAAAACAATAGCCGGGATTCTGAAATCTTAGGAAAGGCTAACACCTAAAGATATTATGAATTCATGACTGAAAAGCAGTGAAGAAGATTAAAGCAGAGGGGATCTCAAGATACTGTTGATTAAATCAGTAACTTTTCTAAATGCTCTTGTATTGAGCCTTATCCAATAATGAAAGACAGCAGACATTGTGTGAGATGCCAAGATTTGTCACCCAGAGAGGAAACATTTGACACGTGCACCACAGCAGGTTATCCCACTTTAGCAGAAACTGCTCAGGAGCTTGAAGCTTTTGTCTGACTTAATTAACATTATTGACTTCAATAATGAGGCCTTTTAAATGTAACAACACATGCCTCACCTCATGACCCAACCATAGAAACACCTGGTGATGAAATCAGAGTGGTCAGTGGAAAGGACTGTGCTGGAGGAACAGGTCAAGGCAGATATACTTTTGTTTGAGCAGATACTGTAACGCTTAGGGAATTAACAAGAATTCCAGTGCATTGGTGTGGTCATCTAGAAGCATCTTGAATATCCAATGGCTAAAACGATTGAATCATAACAGAAAAGAAGTCACATATCTGTAAAGATACAGTGCAAATCTTAAAACGTGCCATTTTAAAACCATTAAATCACTTATAACAAACTAAAACTGGAGAAGGCCTAAACTTATCTTATGGATTTCCCAAAACTCAAGCTTAATAAAGAGCCTTCATTACCTAGCCATGTTTAAAAAATTAAAATAAAATAACCGGCCTCTGGTTCTTTAACCATAAACTCAGAAAGATTATAAATCTGGTTAATTTTAGCAGGTCTCTGGATTCCAGAGGGCTTCGGGACCTTAGGGGGTAGATTGAGAAACTGAGAGCTGTTGGTGGCCTCTATGATGTAG